GGGGGGGGGGGGGGGGGGGGTCACTTTTTCTTCGGTCTTTTTTTCTTTTTCTTTGTTCTTTTTCCCCTTGTTCTTTTTTTTTCCTGCCAATTGATTATTTTTCCACTGAGATCTTCTTCTCAGTGTTCTCACTGTGTTCAGTCGTTTTTGTTGTCTCTCTCTCTCTTCATCCTCCTTTCCCCTTGATCAGCTGCCTCCCAGTCCACAGCAAGCCCGTTGTTTTCCTTCCTCCTCTTCCTCCTGATCAACAGATCGAGCTCATACGACGTATGGGGCAACAAACTCTCCATTATGCTCTCTCCCCGAATAGAACGCACGGTCATTATCATTGTCTCTAGACCTAACGTTATCCTGAAGACAGCTGTGATGGCTGTGTTCTATTCGGGGGTAAGGCAGCCTAAGCATAACCATAGTTGCAATCATGCTATACCCATGTTGTAGTGACGACTTTTCAGTCCTGATTCTCATTAATGAGGTAGCAATATAGGAAACTCGGAATATGGCTAATCAAGGCCAACAGGGTATAGGACTGGGTATTTTCAATCAGTCCCCCACTGCTTTTTGGTCACCTTGTAATACGCTGTTTTCACTTTCCATGATCTCTTATTTCACATGCTTGCTGGGAATACCTAACCGGACTGGCGCCCTCCCAGACTATAAAGAGGGTGGTCTCTTTGGGGGGGGGGGGGATCTACACAAGAGGAGCAACCAAGGGCTTGTGCCCATGTGCAATCAGGCTATGCGTGCAGTAGCTACGCGGTCATGCAGTGCTTGAAATGCTATGTGCCATGTTTCTGAATGCTACACAAATGTTACTGTTGGTAAACAGGTCATGGGTTCGAAGTCCTGAGTCATTCTCATGCCCCTAATAATAGCATTCTCACCCCTCCTTAGCTCGATGCTCTGCTTCCTGACCGTTCTCAGGAAGCAGAGCATCGAGCTAAGGAGGGGTGAGAATGCTATTATTAGGGGCATGAGAATGACGATTCTTGCAAAGATTGAAAGGCAGGGAAGTTGCAGAGTGATTGATGACGTGGAACGGAGAAGGAGAGGATGCGGATCAGGAAACTTCAGAAACAAGTCATGGGTTCAAAGTCCTGATATCAGAGGAGAGAGATCGGGAAGCAGAACAGCCAGCTAAGGACAGTGAGAATGCTATTAGGGGCATGATAATGAATCCTTGCAAGATTGAAAGAAAAGGAAGTTGGAGAGTGATTGATGACGTGGAGCGGAGGAGGAGGGGATGCAGATCCGGAGTCTGGAGGGTGCAGAATTATTAGGAGAAAACCCAGTCAAGTAGGCCAAAGGGGTGAAGTGGAATGTAGAGAACAGCATCTGTCTATTTTTGGGGCCCACTTTTGTAATGAGAGTTGGCGATAGTTGTTGACGTTAGTGGAACAACCTTTCAGGAGACTCTGGGCCTCGCTCCATTACTATCCGCTATGCAAAATTTTGGGTCTCTTCGCTGCACTACTGCAAGGAATATGAGTGTGAGCGATATACATAAAACCAAGTTGCGAAATCACACAGCTGACCAAGTAGTCGTGTCCCAAGCAGAGAGTACAAATGCACCGAGAAAACCATCCATATAGAGCAATACAATGAAGTAATGAGCCAATGTTCAAGCCCGTAGGCCACACCAACACAGTATCCAAAGTCGCTCTGCTCTGTCTGGCGCTCAGCACCCAGCCTACTCTACCAGACTATCCTACCTACAGCTGGTTCACGCAACAGGATCACTTCGACTCWCGAAGACCAATGTACATGACTGCCAACACCATCGCCGACCTCTCTTCGTGTACCAGGTACGTATCTCGTCACCATCAGTCAGACCTTGATTACCCCACACAGCGTCTCCTTCCCTGAAGACCACCTGATCATCCGCTGTACCCCCTGGCGCCCAGCAGCCCGGCTATGGCYGCCTGCGCCCCGCTGCCCTGCAGCACCCCACTACACCTCTCGCGCCCCGTCAGCGCCCTTGGCAGCAGCGCAGCATCAAGCGAGAGCGCAGCAGCACTTCCGCATTGCCAGCGCTGGCCAGAATGCCTGGCCTGGGCTGCCTCATTCCTTTTGTGGAAGTGGCAGCCTCCTGGATGCTGCATGTGTCCTGGCTGGAAGCTTCCAGTAGCTTCCGGTTGGGTCCCAGACCCTGCGCCCAGGCCTGAGACTACAGTTGAGGGCCTGGGCCCTTTGCAGTTAGGCACGGCCTGAGTCTCCGGACTTGGGCTGTTTGCTGTGCAGGGCTGCCAGGCATGTGCGTTGGCACTACTGCTTTTGCAAAGGCCGAAGGCCTGCTTCCCAATGTATCGGCCCTGCTTTGTGTATGTGTGCCCAGGCGCAACTGTCAAGGCCTGGGCCAACTGTATGACGCAGCAATGTGAGGCTCATGCGTCTTCCCAACCAACTGGCGCGCTGCGAGAGCCTGAATACCCACATATGGAAATGTCGAATTTTGCCTCTGACGAATATTCAGGCCCGCCTTCACTTAAGGCGGGCACTTTGGCTTGCTGGGGCCCTTAGCCCAGAACAATGTGATGTCTGATAGGGCCCCTTGAGGGCTTGTTCCTCACACTACTCTCCACTCTCCGAAAAATTGGAGAGTTCGCGGAGAGCTGAAAAGCTCTCCGAATTCGTGATTCTCGGTTCACCGCTAACCTGACTATCCACTCTCTGAACTCCAGTTCGTGAGTGCACTAGCAGACAAGGTGACAGCACTGGAGGACACGGCATGATTTGCACTTTGTCTGCCCAGACTCCAGGCACACTCTCCGAATTTCGAGCATTTTGGAGATTCGGGTGGAGGTCCATCTGGAAAACCACCATTGCAGGCTGGGCACTCTCCACCAGCGGAGAGTGCTTTTCCAAGGCAGTTTCTGACAGCTATCCGAAGGTTTTTGAGGGATGCAATCGGATAGTTAGTGTTAGTGCAGCGATAAAAAACTCTCCGAATTCGGAGAGTGGGGAGTAGTGCAGCAAGCCCCTTTGTATAGTTTGTGTATAGCTGTCAGAGTGTTCAAAATGGCGGAAAACCTGATGTCGCTCCACTTACCATCCGCTATACAACTCTCCAATTCCTCAGCTCACTATCAGACGGTGTGGCAGCACTACAGGACACGGCGTCAATAGCGTTTTGTCTGCCCGCCCAGACTCCAGGCACACTCTCCAAATTTGGCTCCGCACCGTGAGTTCCTTGAAGGACTCTCTGCGTAACGAATTTTGAAGGCTGGGAACTATACAACGGCCGGTGGGCAGTGGCAATGCACCCATGGCATCAGAACTATCCTCGTGAATTTGCACATGTATAGTGGACAGACAGTGACGACGTTCGACTATCCGATTTTGTATAGCGGACAGTAGTGGAGCGAGGCCCTCTGAGATCACCTTTTATTTTCTTTCGACGGCCTTGGGATATCATCTTTGAACTCCCCGGCGGCATGTTATTCAGAATTATGTTATTCTGTTCATTCTGATTGCATCTGGATCCGAACTTGGGTCTCTATTTCAACAGTCCATGGGTGTACCAACTGTGTTAGGCCCCATTTGATGGAGTAGTTTCCTTTTCTTTTTTTTCTTATGGGTCAGATAGGTTGTGGGGGCCAACTGGTCATAACAAGTTTTGGGAAGGTCCGCCTCTCATGTATGATAGGGACACGACTCACCACTCACCATGCTGTGCTTGATAATCGAAATGTTATGTATATGTACTATGCAGTAGGCTTCAAGAGAGCTATTTTTCTTTGGTGCGGTATGCATGTGGGCCACAAGTTTGGGGGAAGTTCCAGGGGTCAGCCTACCAGAGCAACATGGCTGGTGGCGCCAGGCAAAAAAAGCCCAAGCCTTTTCAGTTTGTTTTTTGGTGCACATGTGACGATCTACTTTCTATGTGTGCGCAATTTTCTGCGAGGTCGATGGTGGGATCGAAAAAGCCCGTGGATGATTACGGGGCTGATCTTTCTTTTTTTTTTGTTTTGTTTTTAACGTCTCCCAGGCTGGCTTTAGGAGGTGATATGAGCATTCCCCCGTAGCCCCCTGAGGACGGAAAACTGGGCCATCCAATTTTACACACATTGCACAGATTACACAGGAGATGCTTGGGGTTTATCCTAGGTAGTACAGTAATTAGAGAGTTCTACGGGGCGGGTGGAAGCTGAGGGACACAGGGGCATCCTGTCTCCCGGATCCCGCAGCATTGTGAAAGATACCTCTTTTCCTTCTTTCCTCGGGGGGAGGGGGAGCTTCACAGTCCACACCACGACACGTCCATGATTGTCTTGTCCTGTTGGTGAAAGGGGTCAGGAAAGTCCTCTGGTGGTCTTAAGGGGAAGTGCTCCTCGATGCAGGTCGCCCCTCCACTTTTCCCGTTTTTCTTTTTGTAAATTGCATGATTGCCCACGTTGCAGGGAAGGAAGGACATTTTCACAACTTGCAGCCGGTTCTCTTTTCACCTCAGCAGGAGGACA